GGAATTCAGCACATAGTGTTGGGGGGCACAATTTAATCCCCAGCAAATCTCTTCCCCCTAGGCCTTAAATAGGAGGTTATGTTGAAAGATGGTCTGAGTGATGGAGGATATTACTTTTAGGGGGAGAGTTATTTTTAACTATTCCAATGCATTTTCTTTCTTGAAGAGTCTCATAGAAGCGAGGTGTGCAGCCGAAGCTTCTCTCAGCTGCCCTGTGGTACAAACCGGACTGTTTCTGAGGCTCCTGCCCCACAGCCCCTGTGAGAACAGGAAATCAGGTCCCCCACTGCTGCTACCTAGCTCTGCCGGTCACTTTGTCCCCTGCGTTTTATTAAATACACCAGCTGACTTCTCCAGGGAGCGGAGACACTCTCTCTCTCGGCTGGCGCTCCGCTTCTCCTCCAGAGAATACTTTTGTGTCTCCGACTATATATCCCGACCACAGTTTGACTTCTGATTGGATTCCGAAGAGTCCACATTTCTATTCGATGGGGCTACCTTCCCTCTCTCTGCTTCCAGCCGCCCTTCGGTGTCACTGTTTTCTTTTTTTTTTTCTTTGACACCAGATGTCTTAGTTTCTTCGTGCTGCTGTAACAGAAACCCGGGAAGTGGGTGGGTCTAAGGCACAGAAATGTATTTTCTCCCTGTTTAGGGTCTAGAAGTCCAAATTGAGGGCACTGGGTCTAGGGGAAGGCTCTCTCTGTCAGCTCTCGGGGAAGGTCCCTGTCTTGGGTTCTGTAGCCCTGACGCTCCTTGGGGCCTCGGCGGTCTCCACGTGTCTGTCTTCCCCACATTTGTGCCCGCTCACTTGCCTCTGTGTCCATGCAACTCTTCCTGTATCTCAAAAGTCCTTAGGTTTAAGACACACCCTGCACTCATATGGCCTCATTTACATAACAAGGGAAACCCTGTTCCCAAAGGGGGTCACATCCACATTATAGGGGTTAGGATTCCAGCACATATTTTGGGGGACACACTTCAATCCATAACACCAGAGTATCCCTCACTGTCTGGAACCTTTGGGGTTTCTTCCACCTCAACAATGACCCCCCCGTTTCTCTCTGCCGGAAAACCCTCTTCGGGTATGCTGTTGCACGCCCTCATTCCGCCCTCTTATCTCTCTCCCTCTTTAAAACTACCTCCAATTCTTGGGGGTCCCATGTCTACCACCGAGAGCCCAGAAAGCCCCTACGCCATATTTCAAAAGACACATCGGGGAATTCTGAACATGTTTTGAGGCTCCTACTAACTCTGCGGGATTACAGAGGTTTATAAACTGCATTCCACATTGTTCCCTTGGTATTCTTACATCCTTCTGGAATGTCAGAGGGACTGGGTTTCCCTTTATCCAGATATTAACCATGTATGAAAACTCTAGCGGGGAGGGATTAAGACACTCACTTCGATTTCCCTTTTAAAATCTCCTAGGACTGTATTACTATTAGTATACCGCCCCCCCCCCAAAAAAAAACCAAACCCATTGCATCAAGGTGATTCTGACTCATAGTGACCCTATAGGACAGAGTATACCTGCCCCATAGGGTTTCCAAGGAGCAGCTGGTGGATTCTAACTGCTGACCTTTGGGTCGGCAGCTGAGCTCTTAACCACTGCGCCACCAGGGCTCCCAAGGACGTTTTAGCTTTACCTTAAACATCCAAAGGCAGCGACGCATAGTAGGTTCTCACACATGTGCTGGTGTTGTTAGCTGCTGTTAGTCGGTTCCGTACAGCGGAATGAGACGTTGCCCTGTCCTGCTGCATCTTCACTATCGGTGGTGCCCTTGCGTCTGTTGTTGCAACGACGTAGTTGGAGCGCTTTCCAACCTAGAAGGCCTATCTTCCAGCACTCTATCAGACATACTCTGCTGTGATCCACAGAGTCTGCATCGTCTGATTTTTGGAAGTAGATTGTCAGGCCTTTCTTCCTCGTCTGTCGTAGTCTGGAAGCTCTGCTGAAACCTGTCCACCATAAGTGACTGCTGGTATCTGCAATACCAATGGCTAAGCTCCCGGCATCATCATGAAAGACACCACAGTAAGACAGACTGACAGGTGGTGGCTCAGACATATAACCACCCCTTATACCCCTTCTCTCCACCCCCAAAATGGCTCTCCTTCCCAGCCCCGCCAGTTCTTTCACTATGACCGCAGCTTGTCCAGATACCCAGGTTCAAAACTTGGCCCCTCCTCTTCAAACGTCTCTGTTATTTATTTGCATTGCACGTCCCCACTCCCACTCAGACTTCACCTGCAGGTACTAGATTCACCGCCACAGCCACCTGCTCCTCATTCTGAGCCCCTGTAACCCACTTATGCCAGAGGACCCCTCCCCAGTTAGCTGGCCATGGAAAGTTGATTCACAGAGTGTCTGTGAACATCCTGGAGAACATGTTCCACTGAGGGGAACGCTGCCTTCAACAGCTCTGTGTATGCCTAGTCTCTGGGTGGTGCAAGCAGTGAAGTGCTTGGCTGGTAACCGAAGGGTTGGAGGTTCAAATCCACCCACACACCCCTCAGAGGAAAAGCCTGGCGGTCTACTTCTGAAAGGTCACAGCCATTGAAAACCCTGTGGAGCACAGTTCCGCTCTGAAACACATGGGATCACCGTGAGTTGATATTGACGCCACAGCATCTGGTCTGGATTTGACCTATGGCCTCGTCTCCATTCTTGTCTCCACTTCTTGGTTTATGCAGCTTATCCTTCCCATCCTCACACCCGACCAGAGACATGGAGAAGCTCACACATACCTCCTCACGGCCTGAGGGGCCTCCCTTCTCTCTGCGCTTACTTACGAATCTCCTTTCTCTCTTAACTGAACTCTTCTGTGGGCAAAGGAAGTACCGTCCCCCATTCTTCCATTTTCTTTGTCCTCATTACCACGTGAAAGGATTGTGCTTAGTTATTTGTTAGTTGTTTACGGTTCTTGCCTCTCAACTCTAAGCTCCAAGATGGCGGGTCCTTGTATGGTTCACTACCACTGAACTCCCTGGAGCCCTGGTGGCACGGTGGTTAAGAGCTCGGCTGCTAACCAAAAGGTCAGCAGTTCGAATCCCCCAGCCGCTCCTTGGAAACCCTGGTGGGGCAGTTCTACTCTGTCCTGTAGAGTTGCTGTGAGTCGGAATCCACTCAATGGCAATGGGTTTGGGTTTTATGGGTTTAAAATACTGCCTGGGGCAGAGAGCCATCCAGCAAACATTTGTGGAGTGAATGTGTATGTATCGGTCTCTAACTGGTTTATGAGTTATGGATTGGGATCGGGTCTTGGTGCATGTTTGCAATTTGAGAACTATTTCTAGTTGGAGCCTGTGGGCCTGTACCTGTGTTACCTGGAGCACCAAGAGTCATGGATGCCTCGATGGAATTGGGTCTCAAGGGTCTTAATTCAGTCAATCTCATTGAATTTGTTTTGACTGGAAATCCTGTTGCCTCCCTTTAAAACGTATTCCCTTGGGCTCTTTTCAACACTTGAGACCTTTTGGCAGGGAGTCGTCTCATCCCTATCAGGAAATCTCATCAAAATGATATTAGATTTGCACATCAGGAAGATAAAAATCCTCCAGGAAGATGTTGCTGTTCTCTAGATCGGCCTTGGATATAAGCAGTTAAGCTCTTTCAAAAGGCGTTTCAGCCACATCTTAGCTATTGGGCCAAGGCCCGGGGGGCAGGCTCACAATAAACAGTAAAACAAAAAATAAGGGTGGGAGGGAGACCCTCACAGCACTTCTCTGATTGCAGCAAAGGCGAATTCGAGGGAAGAGCCGGGCCCCACTTTTTGTAAAAGGAGGGATGGGCGGTCACTAGGTGAGCTGGTTAGGCCGTTACCTTACTCCCGCCTAGAATCTTTCCCTGTATGTTCTATCTCACCTCTTCTAGGTTCCACCTTGTAAATGGACTTGGAAAACGACATAATGGCAGGAGTGCTTTTTTTAAAATTGTGGTAAAATATATCTTAAAAAATTAGCCATTTGACCATTTTTAAGTGTACAATTCAGTGACATTGATTACATCCACAGTGTTGTGCGGTCGTTGGAACCAGTTGCCCTCAAGTCGACTCTGACTCACGGCGACAACGTGTGTCATGGTAGAACTGTGCCCCACAGGTTTTCAATGGCTGCTTTTTTGGAAGCAGATTACCAGGCCTGTCTTCTGACCCACCTCTGGGTGGTTCAACGCCAACCTTTCAGTTAGCAGCCTAGCATGTTAACCATTCCCACCACCCAGCGACCTCTGTGCAATCATTACCACTGCCTATTTCCAAAACTTTTTCATCACCCTAAAGAGAAACTCCCCATTTCCCCCTTCTCCCAGCCCCAGTACCCCTTGATAAACATTGGTCTCTATGCACTTGCCTATTCTAGATATTTCATGTAAATGGGATCATAACAATATTTGTCCTTTTGCGTCTGACTTAATTCACTCAGCATAGTGTTTTCAAAGTTCATCCATGTATCACGAGCTTCATGTATCAGAACTTCATTTCTCTTTGTGGCTCAGCCCTATTCCATTGTATGTATGTACGCCATTTTGTTTGTCCGTTCGTCTGTTGATGGACCCTCGAGCTGTTATCACCTTTAGGCTCTTGTGAATAGTGTTCCAGTGAACCCTGGTGTACAAGTAGGAGTACTTTCGTTTGAAGTTCTTAACGTCTCCCAGGCGTTTTTGTATGACTTGACCCGGACTTCCTTTCTGTTGGCTTCTTACCCCACCATGGAAGAGAAGGTAGAGGAATGGTTTCTCTTCCTCAGGAGACAGTTCTTTAAACTACTCCTCGATCCTGTGGTCCGTTGTCCAAGTCTTCACAATCCGCGTTCTTTCCCAAGCCTTTCACCATGGATCTTCAAGGTAGTGCCAAGAAGGGTTCTAGAAAGATGTCTGTGGGAAGACCTGTTGAGGTTGGCGTCCAAGTGACAGTAGTGAAGCTTCAGCTGAGCCTGTGTCCTCTCTGTCCCCCCTCCCCTGAGGGTTCCTCTCGTCTCATCTTTCATGTCTGTCTTTTCAGAGGTGTGAACATGTACGCCATGCTGACTGGGACTCTGCCTTTCACAGTGGAGCCCTTTAGCCTGAGAGCTTTGTACCAGAAGATGGTGGACAAAGAAATGAACCCCCTCCCCACCCAGCTCTCAACAGGTAACGCCCCTGCCCCCCTGTGTTCCACGTCCCATGACTTGCACTTCGACCACTTTGGGTTCGTTTGTGATGCAGTATTTGTCTTGCTGCAAAGGTAGTCTGACTCTCCCATGAGTCAGGGGCCTGCTCGACGGCAACCAACAACAAGTGTTAAAATAAGAACGCGCGAGTGGTTTATGGTAGAATTCTCGCCTTCCGTGTGGGAGACCCAGGCTCCATTCCCAGCCGATGCCCCTCACGTGCAGCCCCCACCTATCTGTCAGTGGAGGCTTGCGTGTTGCTAGGATGCTGAACAGGTTTCAGCAGAGCTTGTAGATTAAGATGGACTAAGAAGAAAGGCCTGGCAGTCTACTTCCAAAAATCAGCCAACGAAAACACCATGGATGACCACCGTCTGATCTGCAGCTGATCCTGGGGATGGTGCAGGACCAGGCAGTGTTTCATTCTGTCGTGCATGGGGTTGTCATAAGCCGGGGGCTGACTCGACGGCAGCTAACAAGGGTTAAACATTAGTCTCGAGGTGGTTTGTTTTCACGTCTCTAAGCAGCCACTCCCTTCATCTTTCGTGGGATTCCTTTCCTTTTCCATTCTGATTCTGAATCCCTAACTTCCTCCTTCCTCCTTCTGCACATGGCTCCCCTAAAACAACATACCAGAAGGATCTCATAGTCTCCATTTGAAAAATAATTGCAGGCTTGATTGTTTAAAACTCACTGTATTATAATGTTGACTTGGAAAGGGGCGTTTATAATCACATTTTCATTTCGTCTTCTTTAGTCAGCTCACTGTAAAGGAATATTAGTTTCATTCCAGTTGGGTCTGTGATTTCTTTTGTTACTTGAGTTTTTGAGCCTCTTCAAAAGCTTTTAAATTTATAAAGCGAGGTTTGGTTTCTTGATTAAACAGAATCGTCAGGTGTGTTTGAAAAATACTCTCAAACTTTAGCCAGTTCATATTTCGGTAAACAGCTTGTACTGAGGTTTGGCTTCAGACCCAGCTTATTAGAGCAGTTTTTGGAATTTTCTTCAAGCTCCTGGCCTCAGCCTGGCCCTGGCTGTCGTTTAATCGGCTCCTTAGAATAAACTCAACTTCGCTGAGATAACGCATTTGGGAAAAAAAAGTCATCTGTTCACTTCAAGTCATTACACTGGTGATTGTTGTTGGTTGCTGTCGAGTTGGCTCCGATGCATGGAGACTTTCTGCAGGACAGACTGACACGGTGTCTGGTCGTGTACCGTCCTCACACCGTCAGCACGCTCAAGCCCATTGTTCCGACCGCTGTGGATTTGGAGTGCCTTCCAGGCTAGGGGGTTCATCTGCCAGCACTGTATCGGACAATATGCTATTGTGACCCATAGGGTTTTCTTTGGCTAATTTTTGGAAGTAGATTGCCAGGCCTTTCTTCCTAGTCTGTCTTAGTCTGGAAGCTCCACTGAGACCTCTCCACCATGGGTGACCCTGCTGGTGTATGAAATACCAGTGGCAGAGCTTCCAGTATTAAGTAAAATGCAGCCACCCAGCAGGACAAACTGACAGACGGGTGGTGGTCTGCATGATTAAAACAGCGTTGTTAATTTGCTATGGTTTGGGGTTTTTCTTGAGTTTGTAGAGCACCCATGAAGCTGGTCGCGAAGGTGTGCTTACTTACCCACAGGAACCCAAGCGGAAACGCGTTCCTGTATGCGGTTACTTCATTTCTCTCTACTTCGCCTTTGCTAGGGAGGTCGGCTCTGGAGGCCGAAGGCAAAGGACGAGTGACGTGCTTTACAGTCTGTCGTTCATGCACTCAGGGCCCTAACTCCTGGAGTTAGAAAATGGGGAAAACTGTTATATTTAGATCTTAGAGGAGTCCTGTTATGATTCTGGTGGGGCAGTGGTTAAGCGCTCGACTGCTAACCAAAAGGTTGGCAGTTTGAACCCACCCAGCGGCTCCATGAGAGACCGATCTAGATGGGGCAGCTCTCCTCTGTCACAAGGGGTTGACGGAAATCGACTCGAGGGCACCTGACCGCTAACAGAGAGCTTTCAGAAACGTGAAAACACCACGGAGCACAGTGCAGAATGCTCCTTCGTTCATTTGTTCATTCATTCATTCATTTATTCTGTAAATACGTAGTGTGCACCAGCTATGTGCCAGGCATGTTTTAGGCATTGGGAGAGATTGTCTACTGCAGATTGGTGGGAAGGCACAGTTGCGCCCGTGCGTAACTTGCTCACTGCATAATGCGGCCCTGGCCTCGCCCAACCTAAAGCGGGTGGGAAGTGCCAGAAGTCCACCTGTCCAGGAGGTGGGAAGCTGGCAGTATTTGTCCAGCAGCCTCGGTCTGAGCCACTGGCTGTGAGGGAGGAGCGGGAGTTCAGCCGCGATCACTGCTGCGGTGAGTCGGGCATTGTCATAGTCTGCTCGTGCTGCTCTCACGGAAATACCACGAGGGACTTTAACGAACAGATGCCTATTGTCTCACAGTTCAGGAGCCTAGAAGTCTGAATTCAGGGCGCCGGCTCTAGGGGAAGGCTGTCTCTGTCTGCCTTGGGGGAAAACCCAGCCTTAGCTTCTCTAGCTTTCTTCTCGGCGTTCCTGGGTCATCTCCTGGCATCTTTCTTTCCCCCATTTGTACTCGCTTGCTTTCGTGTCTAACCTGCTCTTTTTAGATCTCGAAAGTGGTTAGGTTTAAGGCACACCCTGCACTGATGTGGCCTCTTTAACCTAACGAAGAAAACCTTATTCTCAACTGGGATGACACCCACAGGTATAAAACAACCGGTTGCTGTTGAGTCGGAATATCGAGTTGATTCCAACTCATAGTGACCCTACAGGACAGAGTGGAACTGCCCTGTAGGGTTTCCAAGGAGTGCCTGTTGGATTCGAACTGCTGACCTTTTGATTTGCAGTCAAACACTTAACCACTGCACCACCAGGGTCCTTCCACAATATATAGGGGTTACGATTTCAACACATATTCTGGGGGGACACAGTCTGATCCATAAGAAACACTCAGGCAGGTTAGTAGCACAGGAAAATCAGTCATTACTGCAGAACCACACCTTGTTCTTAACCCCAGTAATTTACTCCCAGAGCCCTGGTGGCGCAGTGGTTAAGAGCTCGCCTGTTCACCAAAAGGTCAACAGTTCGAATCCACCAGCCGCTCTTTGGAAACCCTATGGGGCAGTTCTCCTCTGTCCTTCAGGGTTGCTGTGAGTCAGAATCGACTCCACAGCAACAGGTTCTTTGTTTTTGTTTTTGCTTTTTAATATTACGCCAGCCTTAGCTAGGGTAATTAAATTTACCAAAAGAGATCTACCTTGAGCATTGTGCGCTTTTTAAAAAAAAAAAAAATATTCTGTTGTGTTTTAGGTGAGAGTTTACACAGCAAATTAGGCTCGCCTTTGACAGTTTTTATACACATTGTTCCATGACGTTGGTTATCCAATTTTCACAATGGATCAGCATTCTCATTATTTCCATTCTGTTTCCATTGATCTAGCTTCCCTTCCTCTCCTTGCCTTCTCATCTTTGCTTTTGGGTAACTGTTGACCATTTGGTCTGTTTACAGTCAGTTGTTTAAGGGAGCACATCACTCACAGGTGACATTGTTTATTTTATAAGCCAGTCTATTATTTGGTTGAAAGTTGATCTGAAGAAATAGCTTCAATTCCAAGTTCAAAGGATATCTTAGGGTGATAGTCTCAGAGGTTTCCCTAGTCTCTATCGGTCCAGTAGGTCTGGCCTTTTTTAGGAATTTGAGTTTTGTTCTACATTTTTCTCCCATTCTATCTGGGACCTTTTATTGTGTCCCTTTTTAGAATGATTGGTAGTGGTAGCTGGGCACCATCTAGTTCTTCTGGTCTCAGGTTTGAAGAGGTTGTGGTTCACGTGGGCTATTAGTCCTGTGGACTAGTTTCTTCTTTGAGCCTTTGATTTCCTTCATTCTCTTTTGTTTCATATAAGTAGAAACCAATAATTGTATCTTAGATGGCCGCTCACAAACTTTTAAGACCCCAGACACTACTCACCAAACTCTCCCATAGAACATTATGTTTGTGAACTTTGTTATGCCAGTTGACTGAGTTACTGAGTTGTCCCCCGAGACTATGGTCCTAAGCCTTTTGACCCAGTAAACCAATCCCATGAATTATTTAGATATGTCGAGGAAGCCTCTGTAACTGAGCACTGTGCTTTTTTAAAGAATTATCTATATGAGTTCAAATTGACAATAGCAACTTGAAAGGTTAGATGAGAGGCTTAGGGAGCAGTGAGTCTAAGTCAATCGTGGTGGAACAATTTGGAGGAGAGTGAGACTGTACAACTTGAATGTAATCAATACCACTGAGTTGTCCATGTAGAAATTGTTGGAATGGTGTATGACTGTCTATTTTCGCCTAAATAAATGAATAAATTTACCCATAGGGAAGAAAAAGTTGCACCCCTGAGGATGTTAAAAAATAGTCTGAAGGAAATTCCAAGAAAGAAATACTTAAAATGTTCCAAGTAATTTCAGCATCACTGGAGCCATAGTCAGCCTCGTGTTGTGTCTGCTTTGACCTTAACCTTTGTGTGTGCCTGTTAAGGGTCTTCTCATCCCCTCGGGACTTTGTCTTCTTCACCTGTCAAGCATACGTTGCGTTTCTATATCTGATTTTCTGATTAGGATCTGAGCTATATTTTCTTTAGTTGTTGGGATGTGTAAGTATCTCTCCTCAACTAGGATTTAACAATTTGTGTTAGGTAGCAAGCATAATGAAGCTGTGTTGCTGACTCTGATGTTATAAATCAAAGAGTGAGGCCTGGAAAGGCCACCCACAGTCATTCAACTGCTCAGGGTTGGGAATGGCCCGGCACGCTAGGACCCAGAGCTGTGAGGCAGCCGCTGATGTAGCCTGGGGTATTTCATCTTGTTTGTAGAGAAATGCTTTTGGGTTTGGAGGTCAGCTGCTGCTCTTCTGACAGCCCCCCATTTTCAAACCCTCTGCCCTTTGAACCCCACCAAGTTATCTCCTTT